GCTTTGGATAAAAGCGTCTGCTAAATGACTAAATGTAAATGTAGTGTCTGTTTGCATGGGAGTCAGCAATTTTTCTGTCTTAAGTGTTGCGGCATGTGTTCAGTTGTTATTGGCAGTACTGGGTCAGTAGTTGAGCCAAAGGCCAGCAGCTGATAACTAAAACTGGTTGTGAAAAGAATGTCTGTATTAGAATATAGGGATGAATTTAGGATTAGGAACTGGTGATGTCAACAATTTAAAAACAAAAAGGGCTTTAAAAAAAAAAAAACTTAACTGTTGTGATTCGCATTTCAGGTTTGGCCGGTGCAGATGCCAACATACCACGTCTTTCCTTCTCAGCAGCTCTCACAAATCCAATGGTTACATCTGGAACGATCATTTTTGACAAGACCATTGTAAATGAAGGAGGCTATTATAATCCACGAACAGGTAATCTTGGCACTGACTATAAACAGTCTATTTGCATTTCTGCTTCCCAAGATAATGAGGAAAGATGGAGTCATGGAAAACTGTATCCATCTTTTCTTCTCTTGAATACAGGCATCTTTACTGCACCACTAGATGGACGCTACTTCTTCAGTGCTATCCTGACCGGTCACAAAAATGAGAAGATTGAAGCCGTGCTCTCCAGGTCTAACTACGGCATGGCTCGGGTGGACTCAGCGGGTTACCAACCAGAAGGGTTGGAAAACAAACCCATGGCCGAGGCCAAACCAACACCAGGTTCTCTGGCTGTCTTCAACATCATCCTGCCCCTTCAGGTGGGCGACACAGTCTGCATAGACCTGGTTATGGGCAAACTGGCCCATTCAGTGGAGCCTTTAACTATCTTCAGTGGTATGCTTCTATATGAAGATGTGTAGTGGTCTGATTAGCACTGAGACTAATCAGAAGACCAGCAAAACGACGGGGCTAGAAAGAGACACTCTAAATTACGCTTATCCACCTGGGTGCGTTGATTTTCCTTCGGTATCGTTTCCAAATCTACAGATGTTGTTAGACCTCCTATGAACTCCTTGAACAGAGAATATAGTTTTAATTGGAGGAACTGTTGCCCTTGATATGTAATCCTAACCCGAATTTTGGAGAAGTGTTGTAACAACTACTACTGTAGGTTTGTGCGACCATTGTTGACGATGTTCTTATTGAGATATTTCCATTTTATATGAATCACAGGCATGAGTTATGAATAATATCTCATGCACCGAAGATGACTGTGAGGTCTGTTCGACTTCCCATGTATGCCACAGCACGGAAAAGTACTCTTCTGCCAAAGAGCTTGACTCACAGTCAGGGTGATATAGGTTAGGCTGATGGGTGTGGAATTTGGGAGATTTGATGAAAGAAATTCATATTTTTGCTGTGAATGTTTAAATCCTGTGCTCCTTTTTTGCTTTGAGTCAAGGGATGATCTTTAAAAGTACAGTATGTGCCTTCATTTTGATTCTTTCTATTTTTTTATATTGCAAGTGCCAAGTTTTCCAGGAGTAACATCCTGCTTTTGCCAAAGACACTTTACTTAATTAAATACGTGGTTGGTAGTTAATGATTTCAGGAATCTTTTAATATATTATCCAACCTAACAATCAGTGACGTACATCACTGCTTTCCATGCAAACTCTGCCTCTGGAAAAGAGATGAATGCAATGAAATCTTCGTTCCTCAGGCACACGGTTTCCACAGCAGCTTATCTAACCAACAAAAAAGGGCTTTTTGTACATGCATCATCCTGCATTTTGTGATCCTGTTGAAGCGTTTACAAAGACATCAGTTCTACTGGAGCGGAGGACTATTGCAGTTCGCTCCATATTCATATTCCCAGTCTGAGCGCCCAATGGAGATTATTATCAAACAGAGTCTGTCCTTAATATGGTTCAACAAAGTGCCTTTGAAGAATAACAATGCTGAGGATTCAGAGGGTGTCCTTCATCAACCGTTTCTTGCTGTGTGGTCTCGCTTGAATGTTTACTGTACGACAGCCCAAAGAATTTTGAACTACGCGGCTTTTGCTTTTTCTTGTTTAAAACATGCTTGTGCAATTTCACAGCACGTTGAGAGAAAAGATCTCTGTGTAACGCTATGTTGAAAATTAAGGCTGCTATCTTTTATGTGCTGTTTCATTTATTATTTTTAGTTATAAAGAGATTCCCCAGCTCATAAAATGGAAGCTATGGCAGCAACGTAAGCATTAAAACATCTATTTACATGTAAAAGAGACCTGATCTAAGATTTTATAGTTCCCTCTCACGGTTTAACCTGTTACCTTGAATGTGTACATTGGCAACACGTGTGTTTCAAATAAAGATATTTAATTTTACACATTTTACTCTCTGCTGAACTTAAGTTTTATGGGGTTTTGTCAGGTATATTGGATTACTGGAAGACATACCATTTAATTTAGCACCGGCATTGTTCAAAACACTAAGCAGACTATACTGTTCATTGTCTCAAACACGATGAGGAGCGTTCTGGTACTCAAGAACCATGAGTCTGTTGAATAGAATTCCAGTCAGTGATTGATGGTGAAAGTTTTGCCACTGTCTGTGACTTCTCTATTCAACATGGAAAAAGTCCATACTGGAGTTGCTGGCTCATTTGTCAAAGCAAAATGTGATTGAAAGCATGTTCTCAAATAGAAAAGACCCGCCGTTTCTGTTTTGAAAAATAATTTTTAGAGGCACGTGCACAGAAACGCTGTGATTAAGGAGAGTGCACAATGCATTTAATTTTCCATGTCGCAAGCCAGAGAAGTCGTTTGGAGATTGGCTTGTGATTTAATGGAAAGAAAAACATTTCTGGGTGTCCATCCATAGTCATATGGGGATGTAGTTTATGATGAATAATGCCTTCTGCTTGTCAAGTCACTGGTGTCTAGACAAAGTGTTGATAAGTGAACCTTCTGCCCTCTTTCTGATATGTGCCACCATTGGGAGTTTTCATGTTTTTTTGTTTTGTTTTTTTCATTTCCTCATATTGTATTTCTGTATTGCTTTTACAACTTTAAGAACTCTAAATACAGTCTGTAGGGAAAGTCAACCATCTATTTTTTTTCTTTTCTTTGATGAAGTCAGCATGAAATAGCATTCACAAGTTCAACCCTTTTTAGTTTTGTAATGAAACATATTTCCAAATTAAACAGAATTGTCAATGTAAATAGGATGAAACATTATTTTATCCATCAGGATTGGATTGGATCATCCAAAGTGCAAATTGGAGATGAGCTGAACATGAGATTTCAGTGGATTGAGAGGAAACAACATTGGCATGTCATGGACACATTAGAGGAGGCTTTTTGATCAGGATGTGGAGACTGGTGCCTAACTTCCCCCTTGAGAGAATCTCGACATATCCAAAAGGATTTTGCTTTTTTTTTTTTTTTTTTAAATCCATAGTATACTAATGCAACAACTAAGTCATGCATAACTTTCAACTACTACATAGCCTATGATAATAAATAGCTATTTGGCTATTGGTTTCCTTGTCTTCTCAGATCATATTCATGTATTCATGTTTGTGGCTGAAAAGGAAAGTTGGTTCTGAGGTACAGTAAGTTACATTTACATTTTGATGAAATATTATGAAGTCATTTTTTCTTTGGAATAATGTGCACTGATGAATCTTTGCTCATGTGGTTAATTTCATGCTAAGTATGTTTAAAGTTGGAAAGTTTAACAGTAACAGATACAGTATTTCCACAAATTTGAGAAAAGAGTGCATTTTACAGTATATCCACAAAAAAAAAAGTTTTTATACGTAGGCTTAAAGAAATTCCATTTGTATAATTTTCCCCAAAGTAAATGTCAGACAGATATTGTCAGACAGACTGGGTGTCATTATTGCACATTGGGTGTGGTAAAAGAATCCGTGTAGTGCTGGCCAGCTGTGTCTAAATGGGATTGGGTGGGAAAATGTCTCGTATCCTGTTTGTCTTTCATCTCTGTTCACTTATATTCAGCTGTCTTCCTCTGTCTCTTTTTCTCTGCATATGGTGCAAACACACAGGCCTGTGCTCCCTACTGCTGCAGAGATGCTTGCCAACACTTCAGTATCAATCAGGGAACAATAGCCCTGAACTCCTCCTCATAACTCATAAGTATTATCAAAGCACTGTTGGATAGTATGCTCACAATATTTTTTCTTCAATACAGGTTTAGGTTAGAAGTTTAGACTAATGTGTTCGTAAAAAGTCTCATGTTCATCAAAGCTGCATTTATTTGATCAAAAGTACAGTAAAAAAGTATTCATTTGGCGCTCTTATTAATAATAGTTATTTTTATTATCAATGTTGAAACCGCTTTTGCTGTTTAATACTTTGGTGAATATAAAGTGAATAAAATTCAAAAGAACTGCATTTATTTGAAATAGAAATCTTTTGTTGCATTATGTTTTCACTGTCACTTTTGATCAACTTAATGCATCCTTTATAAATAACAGTATTAATTTCTTACCCCGAGCTTTTGAAAGAAAGTGTATCACTGTATTCAACATTGATAATAATAAAGAATGTTACTAGAGCAGCAAATCAGCATATTAGAATGATTTCTGAAGGATCATGTAATCACAGGAATACATTAATTACACTTTAAAGTATATTAAAAAAGAAAACAGTTATTTTAAATTGTAATAATATGTCACAGTATTCATATTTTTAATATTTTAATATTATTAATATTTTAGTATTTTTGATCAAATAAATGCAACAATTAAAGACTTCTTTCAAAAATATTTATAAAAAATATTATTCCAAATATTTGACTGGTAGTGTACAAAAAAAAATCTTACAAGTTGAATTTATTTTCTTTCTGATATCGCAATTTTACTCGTTTTTTTTTTAAGTGGAAGTGAAGAGTTGTAAGTTGTTTTTTTCAATTAATTTATTAATTCTAATACAGAAGAACATCAGTAGGGGCTATACCATCATAATTTAGACTTATCCTTTGCATATACATTAGTCTTTTCTATGTGAAGCAACATTTTTCAGTACCTCACCGTGCCTTAACAATGACTACTGGCTTACAACGCTAGTTAAGTTTATCAGCATGCTTCATGTCTGTACTACATTCAAGCTGTGCACCTCTTCGCCATGTTTAGTGTAAAATTCCATCATATCCGTGGACGCCGCATTTTTTGCCTGCAATCTGGCAGCCAAATGTGAGAGCATCCTGTAGGCTGCCCCCTGCAGAAAAGAGAAAGGATCCAGCTTGATTTATATCCACAACTTAAAATAACCCCTTACTTCTTTGTGTTTCAGAATCAGACCCACATCCTTACCGTTTGAAAGGGAATAGATCACAGAAGCATTGAACGTATCTCCTGCTCCAAGTGTGTCTACAAGCTTCTCAGGCGGGAATGCATCTGAATGGATGATTACACCATCAGCACCCATGGCATCCGCTCCCTTTTCCGCCCAGGCACAAATGAGGGTAGCTCTAGACCCACAAACAAACTCATCTAAACACATGGAACAGCTAATATTTCAAAAGAACACACTTAAGCAGTGATTACGAATAGACATGGCCAGAATTTTTGGATCACTAATGACATCTAGTGGAGGTTTTAAACCACTGACTCACCCCTTTCTCAGACGACCATAGAAACCCTTCAATGCAGCAGCAGCTGAGGTAAACCCAAAGTGCTGGGCTACATCCTTACTAACACAGACCTGAGTGAAAGCAGCCACAGATAAACAGGTTGTGTAGTGTACAAACATGTCTCAAAGCATATTAGCTGACCTGCATATATAATCGGCACACTCAGATTTCCACAGAATTTAACTGCACTGCTCCTTTAAATCTTATGCTCCTTGCATGTTCATTAAATATTTTGTTGAATGTGTTTTTATTATATATTAGAACTTCAGTATGACTTCCCAGTTCAGTATTCTCAGCTCTGTTTATTTAAAGATTTTTCAAAATCAAAGCAAAAAAAAAAAAGAGAAATATTTGTGGAATCCAGATTGTGTTATAGGACCCACTTATAAGTCATATATTTTGACATTTTTAAATATATTTAAAATTGTCTTATTTAAATATATTTATAAAAAACAAACAAAAAAAACAATCATATTAAGCAATATTATTACAATTGAAAATAAATTTTTCATTGTAGTTATTTAAATATATAGTTCAGTCATGAAACTCTAGGTGGCGCATTCTGACGGGGTATTAACGTAACTGATGATATTCAGAGAGTTAAACGACTTAGCACAAGCTGATTGGTTCATGCTGCATATGCAGCCAATGAGCTTACTGCCTGGCATTTATATGGCTGGCTAGCATTCACTTGAGATTCCTGCAGCGCGCTTTCAGAGTTCTCTGAAAACTTCCACCTTCCCCAGCTCCACCTGTATAGATCTGCTACGGGTTATTTTATATGCTATTTGTGCAGCAGCAGCATGTCTTAAATACTCACGGCACCGTATCGCCATATGCATTGGTAGCAGTGTTGCCAGATTGGCCGGTTTTGAATTTGATTGTGCGGGTAAAAATTGGCTTGGGCCGGTGGACAAAATTTGGGCTGATTTGGGGTCAGTTTGGCGGGTTTCAAACATATAAATTGCATAGGCTAATTGTTTAACAAAACAAGCCCAAGTATGTATTCTGCATCCAATCAGTCATCATAACGTTACTACACACACACACACACACTGCAGAGGCGCTGGTGCTGATGTAAACGTCGACAGCCGCACTTATCACGAGGGCTCAGCAGACGTTATGATTCATGAGTGACAGGTTTTTACACCATGCTAAAATGTTCCGAGAGTTGTCATGATTGAAATGTAATTTTTTCCTGTGATCACAAAGCTGAATTTTAAACAATTTGAAATTGAAATTTTTTATAAAATTATAAATGTCTTTACTGCCACTTCTGATCAATTTAATGCTTCCTTAAATGATCATAATAATAAAATAATCATACTGACCCCAAACTTTTGAACGGTAGTATATATACATTATAATATATACATTTTAAATAAAATATTTTAAATAAATGTTTGAAATGTAAATATTTTGAGTGATCTGACAGTCCAAAACCAGTTTACAAAGAACATTTGACTATGTGGTTAATCCATGTTAACATAATGTGTTTTATTCATGTGAAGTTTGTTTGAAATGTAGTAAAATCATACCAAATCACCAAGAGGGAAGAGCTGGTAGAGGGGTTCCCTGGTCTTCTCGATTTCCACAGAGATGGTGATTCTGTTCTTCTCTTCCTGTTTGCTGTTATACTCTCTCACCCTCTCAATCATCTTCACTTGTTCGTCAGCATTACGGCCCTGACAATGCATTCATATAACAGCTTTAGTTCTCTACTGTATTCTCTGGAATAAAGCTATTAAACACAGATCAGAATTAACTAAATAGTGTTTCAGTGTGACTAGTGCGAACTTGGAGTGTTACTATGAAGCAAGTGAAAGATATTTGGCGGACACTCTCACCTCCCAGTGGATCCACTTGTACTGGCTGAGGTCCACCTTTGAAAAATCTTCTACAGAAACATCTGGCAAGTTTCTGATTAAACAGAGAGAATAGCTGATGAAAGTTCTCTTGTATTTTAGACTACAACAATCAGTAAGTAATGATTGTACTTTGTGTACATGATAGGACACTATCCATTATTTTGACATGATCTGCTGTAATCATATTATAAACAACTGTTTACAGTCACAAACTGAATCAGTGAAAGGTCTGTATAGTGGAAAAACCCTAGATTATTGCCTTAGTTTGTATACAGTAAAGCACTTGATAACAGTCATCAGTACAGACAAATAGTCAGCTTTGGGCTGCTTTGGGCTGTGATTACAAGATATTTGTGATTATAAACCAAAGTCTGCTTCTCAGCAAAGAGGGAAAAGATTTTGGAAGTTCTTAAAACAGGTTTTAGAGACTAGAAATATTATTCAAGGCCTAGGTGAAAATAAGTGTTTTTTATGTATTAGTTTGCTACAAACAAAGCAATTGAAAGTGAGGACAATGTACATTCAGCCAGTCTTAACCACAAAAATAAACCTTAACTGGGTGATCAGGACTTTATGGGAGCCGTTTCTGTCACAGGATAAAAGACAAAAAAATGTAATTGACTTTTTATCTCACAATTCAGATTTTTATCTTCACAAATCTAAGAAAAAAAACTCAAAATATTGAGATATAAACTTACAATTCTGAGAAAAAAGTCAGAATTGGAAAGTAGAAATCTAAGAAAAAAACTCAAAATTTCAGATATAAACTCATAATTCTGAGAAAAAAAATCAGAATTGGAAAATATTAATTATTTTTCAGACTCACGAATTCTGATTTTACATCTCAGAATTTATATATTGCCCTTCAGATTTCTTTCCTCAGAATTCTGACTTTTTCTCAGAATTCTGAATCACAATTCTGTTTTTTTTTTTGTTTCCACAGAATTAAAAATAAAAAGCTAATTGCAACTTTTTCTCACAACTGCTAGTTTATCTCACAATTCAAACTTTTCTTTTCAGAATTGTGACTTTATATCTATAAAGTCGTAAGTTTACATACAACGTCAGAATTGCAAGATGTTTATATCTTTAATTGAGATCTTTATATTTTTCAATTCTGAGGAAAAAAGCCAAAACTGTGAGATAACAAGTCACCATGACCTTTTTTATTTTTTAGAAACAAGCTGACTGAATGGCTGACTGAACATTATGCAACTTATTACACGGCTGCTTACCAAATAAATTTACATAATGATGTGAGCTTCATTATAATTTCATATAATTCATTTATATAGTTTAGTGGTTATTATATACATATTACATATACAATATTTGGCCATAGAATGTAGCAACTGATCTGTCAGAATCACGTAATTCAGAAAGCCGTGGAAGAAGTTAGTAAGCTTTGACATTGTGTGCTGTTGTGTGTTGTTTAAAACGATTAAAGAAAATAATCTTGTATAAAACAGACATTTAATTGTAAAACATAAATGAACTGAAAATAACAACCCCCCCCACCCCAAATTAATGCATGCAATGTCAAATTGTCATGATTTGTTAATGGCAGCTACTTTAAGTCTAAATTACTGTCAATTACAGCAGTGCCATTTGCGGAAAGAATTTCTTAGATTATGTTTGAGAATGGGAAATGGTAATTTACCAGGTACCCATCTAACTTGCTATGTTATGATTATTGTGACTTTGGATGCTACTCTTACGTGTCCGAGAGCACGACAGTGCGAGAGCCATTGGTGGGACACACCACACAACAGGCACACGGGGTCTCACCCCACTGCTGCCAAGCCACACCAGATATGTCCACCCCACGCCGTGCAAAATCCCCCACGATGAAACTAGTGCAGCAAACAGAGAGGTATTGCAGTGACCCATATGCACTACTGAGTGATTTGGGCAGGAAACATATAACAGGCTCACAAAGCGTGCCAGACTGAACTTTGAACCATGCACCTTTAGTGCACCCTTTAAAGGGAAAAAGCATTACCACTTTGAGCAGTTAGTATACTTTCACTTGTTGTTTTGATGTGATCTGCTGCGACAGCCATCCTGTGAGGAAAGAGCTTCATAGTACTTACAGTACACACAAACTCGCACACAAACCTGTTCATATGCAGAATTGTACGGCTTCCTGTCATCACACTGCTGATTACTACAGAAGCTGGAAAGGAGCATTCGGCATGCTCCAGAAGAAGAGAGATGTCAATCTTGTACATTTGAAAGTCATTCAAGATGAAGCTAGAAGAACAAATTAGCAAGCAAAAGTATGCAGTGTATGTAATCTAAAGTTGTGTGAGGGATAGGGAAGTGTATTTCCGCTGATATTGAAGTTGGGGAGTAAGAAAAGATGAAAATCCATCCAGCAAAGAGTCTTCAGTGTCACATGTTTTTTCAGAAATCATTCTAATATGATGATTTGATGTTCAGGACATTTCTTATTATTAATAACGTTGAAAGCAGTTGAGCTACGTCATAATTTTGTGGAAACTGTGATACACTACCATTCAAAAGTCTGGGAAAAGTAAGACTCTTTTCAAATAAATTAATACTTTTATTTAGCAAAGATGCATTAAATTGATCAAAAGTTACAGTAAATATGTTTATAATGTTACAAAAGATTTCTTTTTCAAATAAATGCAAGATTCAAAGAATTCTGAAAAAATTATGGTTTTGGCAAAAATATTAAACAGTGCAACTGTTTTCAACATTGATAATAAATGTTTCTTAAGTGCCAAATCAGCATATTTTAATGAATTTTGAAGGATCATGTGACACTGAACACTGGAGTAATGATGAAATTCAGCTTTGCCATCATGGGAATAAATTCCAATACATACAATAACATAGAATAATAAATAATAATAGAACAAAATGTTCTATTAAATTGTAACAATATTTTTCAATATGACTGTTTTTGTTGTATTTTGATTAAATACACAGCATTGCTGAAAATAAGGAACTCCTAATAATCATGCATGTACATATAGAATGTACATAATAGCCTACTCTGAAAATGTTGTTGCATAATAGTAGGTAGAAAACACTTACTCAGCTACTGGTCCAGGAGCCAAAGACCCCATAAATGCACACGGGGCCCCAAGCAGAGACAAAACTGTGCACGTGTTTGATGCATTTCCTCCCCTCTGCCATCTCTGAGACAAACACCTACCAACCAGTTGCACGTTATTTCATAACACCTGTGATGCAACATTACCTACAGTGTATAGCAGGATGCTCTTTATGGTCAGACTGATTATGCGTTCGGAACGCTAACGCAAAAAGTACATCAAGAAATGATTTGCAATTATACAATATTATCAGAATTTCTCACCTGGTATCAGTATCTTCTTCCGGGTATTTATCCACAACATTTATGATATCCAGACACACCAAACCAATGGTGAGTATCTTTTTGTCTCCCATATTCTTCCTGCAGAACGAAATCCTGAACTATGGACATGAGACGAAAGGTCATGACGTTACACTGTTCCGTATCTTTCAGTGAATGGGAGAGCGTAAACATGGACACGAAGTCTAACGGCTTTTACCGAGTGTGGCCGAAAGTGTCAGCGCGAGCTGAGCACGACGATTCACGATTTTTACCGAGTGCAGCCGAAACTGTGCTGTCCGTTACGTTTTGTAGTAAGTTCTAAAATGCATTTGTTGTTAATCATCTCTAAATATTTGAATGTACACATGATCTGGCAGGCTTTCAGTTGGCCCACTGCCATGTTTTTAATATGATTTATTAGTTTTGAAGACTAGGTAAACACGAAGATAAGAGAATGGAGGAGACTTCAGCAAGTGTGGTAAACTGGGTGGCGGAAGGCAACCTTGAGGTCCTCCAGATCTATAAACTCCTGCAATATGTACGGGAGAAGAACAAACCGCAGATAAATAAGATGGTCGACGTGGGTGTATCCAATCTGCTAAATCTGACAGAACCCAAACAGGGACTCGGTGCCTTGTTCCAGGCCTCTCTGGCCCATGATGAAGACTTGGCACGGTTCCTTCTGTCACTAGGAGCCCATCCTGACATACAGGACAAGAAGGGCCGCACACCACTGATGCTGGCTGCACAGTTGGGCTACTTCAATATTGTGTATCTTTTGATCACAAATCATGCAAATGTGAATCTCACAGATGAAGAGGGAAAAGGTAAGAACATCTTTTTATATACTCTACAATTTTAATCGAACTTGTTGACAATTTATTTACCTGTTGAAGTCTCAAAGTATATAACCGAGACATTCAAATTATAGTTGAAAAAGATAAGGCTATGTTTTTTTCCTTATTCTTTTATATAATATTTATTGTCATTTCCTCGGTTAAATCTATTGCTTTTACTAATCATACTCTTCATTTGTAGGGGTTCTGTTCTACTGCATCTCTCCAGCTAAAGAACATGCTCTCTGCCTGCAGATGGCGCTCAGCTGCAATACAAATGTCAACAATGTTTCTAACTCGGGGAAGCCACTGTTTGTGTTTGCCTGTGAGAATGCAAAGGACTGTGAAGATCTGTGCGTAAACATTCTGGAGAAAGGAGCTGATCCAAATGCAGTAAATCAGGTTTGAGATCTGTCCTCAAATCATAGCTCAGAATCAGATTAATGTTCCCTTATATGTTTGACCCAACAAGAATCAAAAATTGTATGCATAGATGATTCAAAGATCTCTTTTACAAAGATATAATATTACAATTACTTTTATAGCTCATTTAGTGATAATATGGAGCTCATATTAGGACAAAAAAACACGTACACTTTATTTAGAGGTTCAAACTGAGCAATATTGTGCAGTTGCTAATGGCCAAAAAGTATTATTTATATGGCCAAACATTCTGATAGCTTCATAACTTGTAATGTAGATCAATGAGTTCTTTATAACAGTCTACTTACATAAAATGCATATAAATATTAATTGTCACTCTCTCTCTCAATAATTTTTCTTAGTAAGATGATATTTAAATGTTTCGCTTTATGATTAAAGTGCTGTAGATTAGATTTTATTGTGGGGGGCAAAACATATAATGCAATGCAATACAATGATGATTGAGAGATGAAAAATAAATGTTCCCCAAAAGCCTAATATATCATATTTGATAAACACATTTTAACGTGATTTTGAAATATTGCTAACAATGTAAGGTTATTCTTACATTTAAATCAATAAAGATTTCAGAGCAAAAAGACTTTACGTTTTTAGAATAATACTAAATACTAATACTAAAAGGAATACTAAAAGTTTTGATCATATTGATAATTTGGAGTCTTTCGAAATTTCCATATAAAATATGATACAGTCTGCTTAATAGGTCAGCATGAAAATGTGGATTTTGATGGAGTTGAATCAGTATATTTGTTATGTTTTGGCTCTCCAAAGGTGACACGATGCTCTGCGCTCATGGAGGCATCTAAGGCTGGTGCTGTGAAGCTTGTCAGAGCCATTTTACAAAAAGGAGGGAATCCTGACATGCTTGATCAGGAAGGACGATGTGCTACCCACTTTGCCGCAGAAGGAGGTTTCCTTGAGGTTATGCCATGGCATTCTAAATAGCATAAAATTCACCTTTGTTTCACTTTGGAGAGTATTACTGTCTCTGCTTTATACAGGTTTTACAGGTGCTCTCTGCATACTCTGCTGACTTGGGTATCAGCTCGACAAAGGGTAACACACCACTGCACTTCGCTGCTGCTGGCGGCTTTAATGAGTGCTGTAGATTCCTGGCCCAAAGAGGTAGGCTGGGTCTAATGTCTTTCCATTTTCCCCAAAACAATTACTGACTAAATTAAATAAACATTGACCTGATTCAAGCTGAATAACGACACACTACTGTCTTCAGTAGAGCTGCTTATCAGTGAATTGAACTTGTTTCCTAATGAACTTTACACAGGTATTGAACTGAACTGAACCAACACTGAACTCATGGAGTTGAATAATGACACTATTGTCTGCTACAGCTGCTTTATAGCAGAATTTGGATTTGCCTCATTTTTGAAGTTTGCATTATTAATTCTGTTGCTTTCCTGTTTAAAACTGCTTTGAAACAATTTCTATTGAAAAAAGCGGTATAAAAATAAACGTAACTTGATTTGACTTTTCACAGACTGTGCTAATGCGTTTGAAATGTTTTAATGTCTACTTTTTAAAAATATGTACATTGAAGGCACATTAACAAAACTGTACTTTGAGTTTTATTACCTGTTTATTGCTGCTGAGTGACTTTTTCTAATACAACAGCTGAGGGAGTGATAGAAAATTTGACAAAATCTTTCTCAATATTTTTTTTTTTTTACTTATTTTGGAAAATCATAGAAACACATTCGTAGAGTTTTTCTTTTGCTATTGGGACAAATGGGAATGCGAAAATTGTATTTGTTGTAGTTTCCGTTCACCACTACAGAAGTTTACCCAACAATGATGACTACCAATTCTGCAAATTAAACATCAGAACACTGCTCATTTGTTAAAAAAATACTAAAAATACTCTACTGCTTTAAAGTGCAGCCATATTTGTGAAATTTCCATGAGATTTCCTGTGCAAAAAATGTCAAAAAATAGAGTTGTATGAAACTCAGCTCACACACTTTCAAGTCAAGCAATTTGACCAATTTGAACATGAGCGAAATTTTCTTTGGGAACTTTGCGCAAATTTCTATTGGAATGGCTGGATTTTGCCCACAAAAATTTTGCAGAACAATGGTAAATGTGACCGCACCTTTATTCATAGCAGTACTGTCTATTGTCTACAACAGGATGTAATCCTAAACTGAAGAATCTGGATGGTCAACTTCCAAGCCAAGTCGCTAAAAGCAATGGCCACAAAGCTGCCCTGAAGGAGCTCAAGAAAGCAGAGAAAAGGCATGTGAAGCTATCTGCGCCCGATGCCGTAAACCCCAATGAACTCTGGGCCGTCACCCTTCACGACTGGTCCTGTGAACATGAGACAGCCTTGCGCAAAGCCTTTGAAACTGCCGAGGGACTCGACAAACCTGTTGAAAACGTTTCTGTGGAGAATTTTGTGTCTTCGCTTCAAGCGCATCAAGCTCCTCCTGTAAGTAATGAGAACCTACAAAGGATCATCCTGGAACATGACAAAAAGCGTGAAAGTGTCGTCAACGTAAATGACTTTTTCAAAGGCCTCAAGTACCTCCAGAAGGCCTTTGTCATCTCATCCTACGCTCCGAAGCAGGCTAAGAAGAAAAAGGGTGGCAAGGAAAAGAAGAGTGGCAAATCTGCCTCATCATTGCCCATATGCATAATGCCACCTGAGCAGATCTCGATAAGAGAGGACAGTGGACTACCTTACTACATGATCGAGAACTACCAGCCATTCACTGACACCAACCGTTTCAACCCAGACCGGCCACCAATTCACCCCATTGAGAATGACTCGGCTTGGTATATCGATGAGTCTGAAAAGACCTATACCAACATCCATTACTGTGTGAAGACTGGAGATCTAGAATCTCTCAGCCTGGCGTTTACCCAGCAAGTGCCTGTTGATGTCAAGGATCAGTTCTTTAAGACGCCACTTATGACAGCGTGCAGCTGTGGCAACTACCAAGTAGCTAAATTCCTCATTTTACTGAGGTAATGCTACTAAGAACACTACAGATTTAATGTAATTGGAGGACCATTAGATTGTGTAATTTTTAAAAACATTTTGTTTCTGTGACTCTGTAGGGCTAATGTCAATGCAGTTGACCAGTTTAACTGGACGCCCCTCCACCATGCTTGCCATGCAGGTCATGTAGACATTACCATCATACTGGTGCAATCTGGAGCCGTGGTGGATGCAGTGGCAATGAATGGAGCAACTCCACTCATGAGAGCTATTGAAAGCTGTAAGAAACCTTATTATTATCATTAATGTTGAAACCAGTTGTGCTGCTTAATTTTGTGGAAACCATGATAAATTTTTTTTCAGGATTCTTTGATGAATAGAAAGTTACAATTTTATTTGAAATAGAAAACTTTTGTAACAGTAGTCTATGTCTACATCTACTTTTTGTATATTTTTCTTCATTTATTTCAAAAACAATTAAATATTTATGTGTTCACAGACCAAAATTGCTTGGACATTGCTATAAATTATGGCGATGCGAGAATCATTGGTTTGCTCATGGCCAAATTCAGCAGAAAGGACAAAGAAAAACCAACTTTAAAAACAGCCTCTTCAGCACAAGAAAAGGTGAATGGGAAAAATGCCCTTCTTTCTATAGCTATAGTTTGGATGTTTAATGAGTTGTCTTCTGTTTTTGTAGATGCGTATTCGGTCACCAGCACCATTGGTTTCAGCAGCTGTGAAAAAAGACCTGAGAGACAATATCATAGTTAAGAACCCAAAGTTCAAGATTAGAAGTGGCACCAACAAGTCTGACATCAGCTTTGTTCCCAAAACCGTAAGTCAATAAAACAGATAGATAGATAAATAGATTTCTGATGTTAAATGAAAATTTCTAATGTTCGATAGACACTGACAATTTCTGATGTTTTCTGCATTCTAGCTTTGGGGAAAACATCTTACCAACAGTCCACAACACACTGAGAAGTAGAAGGGAACACTTTGACAAAAAGACGACTCTCAAGGACTTCATACACTTTAACAAGAGCATCCCAGAGCTGAATGGGATTGAATGACTGGGGAGGAATAAATTAAATGTCTCTGTGCAATACCTGCTTTGCATTCGGAGCTACTGTCTGTCTTTCATTTCTGACAAATTAGTCTTTCCCAGACTTGTTCGTCTTTTGTCATTTGAGAAAAAAAAAATGAAAGAAGGACCACAGAAAAAACATGTAAATCCCTTTTCTTGACAGTGGATAAAAATAACCTTTCATAATCAGTCATTGAGATGCACAGTGGTCACCTTAGTGTGCTGCCATTTGGGATACTGCTATACAAACCCCTGACTGAGAGCACCACCTGCTCTATAAGCCTTTTTCCTTTACGCTTCTCCTGTAGCTCTAATCACCAACCCCCACTGAACACAGGAAAAGGATATGACAGTTACATGTTTCAAGGTAACACATTAATCATTGTAAGTGAAATATGCATAAGCACGTGCATGATTTAAACCATCACATTGGCCAGTAGGGGGCAGTCAGGCACAATGTATAATTTAATGAATAATTTTAACTGGGGACAACATTTTGGTTGACAAGACATGAATAATAGGTCTACTTATGTATTTAAAGATTAACATGAGAATTTTGTCTGGATGTGTTGCAGGAAGAAACACTGAAAACTTTATTTTTGAACGTAGATGTAAAATATTGTGTACAAGAAATAATGTGCACAGCACAGAGGTGTACTAGGATGTGACTGTTTAGTGGTGTTTAAAGAAATAATTCACCCAAAAATGGAAATTTGCTTAAAATGTACTCAAACTCAGGCCATTAAAGATGTAGGTGAGTTTGTGTCTTCATCAGAACAGATTTGGAGAAATTTAGCATTACATCACTTGACCAACAATGTGAATGGGTGCCGTCAGAATGAGTCGATAAATCATAATAACACTTCCTCCAGTGAAAAGTTTTTTATATATATATTTGTTTAGAGCTGTTTTGGTATTTTGTCACAGTGTTTGATCTGTGCATAGATTCAGCTGTGTAGAGTATCTCATCAAAGCTGGAGCCAATGTCATGGCAAAAAACAAGAGAGGTGCTGGGTTTGATATTGAAATACCTCTATGTTTTCTACATTATATTATTTTTCGAAAGTTTAGTGTCAGTAAGAGTTAAATTAAGAATTTTAAGAATATTTGAAAAAAGTCTCTTATGCTCACCAAGGATGCATTATTTGATTAAAAACACAGTACAAACCGCAATATTGTGAAATTTTATTACAACTTTAATTTTTCTATTCTAATATATTTTAAATTATGTATATTTCATATATATATATATATATATAATAGGTCTACTTATGTATTTAAAGATTAACATGAGAATTTTGTCTGGATGTGTTGCAGGAAGAAACACTGAAAACTTTATTTTTGAACGTAGATGTAAAATATTGTGTACAAGAAATAATGTGCACAGCACAGAGGTGTACTAGGATGTGACTGTTTAGTGGTGTTTAAAGAAATAATTCACCCAAAAATGGAAATTTGCTTAAAATGTACTCAAACTCAGGCCATTAAAGATGTAGGTGAGTTTGTGTCTTCATCAGAACAGATTTGGAGAAATTTAGCATTACATCACTTGACCAACAATGTGAATGGGTGCCGTCAGAATGAGTCGATAAATCATAATAACACTTCCTCCAGTGAAAAGTTTTTTATATATATATTTGTTTAGAGCTGTTTTGGTATTTTGTCACAGTGTTTGATCTGTGCATATTTCACTTCTGATTGAATATTTTGGATTTTGAATATGGATTAATCATATTTTAGAAGCAATGGTTTGGAGTTAAAATGTCTTAATGATGGATTTGTATTACAAACACAGTTTCTCAATTCACAAGAATGATGGACTGGAGTGGTGTGGATTACTTGTGGATTATTGTGATGTTTTTTTATCAGCTGTTTGGACTTTCATTCTGACGGCACCCATTCACTGCAAAGGTATCATTGATGAGCAAATGATGTAATGCTAAATTTCTCAGATGAAGGAGGATCCATTGGTGAGAAAGTGATGAAATGCTACATTTCTCCAAATCTGTTTCAAATAGTTTTTTGGATGGCCTGAAGTTAAGCAAATTTTAAGCAAATCTTCCTTTTTGGATGAACTGTTTCTTTTACAAGACCCTAAAAACCAAACAGCTCACTCTGTCTAAAATGTACTCTTAAATGCTGTTCATCTCCATTGAATGTAAATTCTGCAAAGCTCAATAGAAATTCAGAACACCTGCACATTGTTGTTCACAGGCTCTGACTCGGCACATTCGCATGAAAGGAGACACAGTGGAGTCAGCTGGAACTCTCTCTGTCATTCCATACTCTGCAACCGGATGTGATGATAGTTCTAGTGGCCGTTGCAGAAAGGACAAGACACTGAAGATATAAATTCTTCTGCACTACAGACAGAAGCAGGGCAATCAATAGACAGGTTGGTTTCGATATGAAATAACTCAGTCATACTGTACACCAGGACTGTTTAAGCGCAAGGCCTTAAAAGGATGAGGAAATGATAATCGGCTCCAGTGCTGGAGGTAATTGCCTTGATGGTGTGGCACTCACAGACACACTGACCTCAGCTCCTAATATTTAGCTCCAAAGGAAAAAGCAAGAGGAGGGGGGAAAAGGAGAAAGGTGTACCACAAATGAGGGAGGAATATGTAGAAAAGCAGATTAAGGTTATTCAAGAAAAGAAGGTGAAACAAGTATCATCAAGTCCAAATGATATTGTATGACATTCTGTTTTTTAGGACACAATTAGTTGTAAATAAATTGAAATGTATTTATAATTCCAGTCTTGAATGCTAGTCGCTCAAAACAGCATTCTAGTGACTCTGAAGAGAAACATCTACACTGTTAGAAAAATGGTACAAATCTGTCAGTGAAGCAGTACTCTAAGTTACAAATGCTAAAAAGTACATCTTTTTGTCCCTAAATGGTACATTTTTATACAATGGTACAAATTTTACATTTATGAGAATTATATAAAATTATATAAAAATGCAGTGCACCTGACTTCATATTTAAAAAGGCAACCAAATGTTAAAGCACAAAATTGCTAAATATTACAAGTCCATAATTGCACACTAAATTAAATATGATGAGGTCATGCATTTATCATGGAATAATGCATACTGTTTCCTTTAATAGTAGACAATAATAATACAGACACCCATTTCTGCTTCATGGTAAATGAGTTAATTCCACTTTATTCTCATTACCTTACAGTGTGATTTGAACTCACAACTGTGATTTTATTTCACATAATTGCAATTTTATATCTCTTAATTATGACTAATATCTCTCAGTATGTCTTTACATTTCACATTTCTTTTATAGTATATTTAACAACTGCCTTTTTTCATTTTTAATCCGAGGTGATCTCTTAAAAGTAAAAGTTCTTAATTGGTATCTGTAGTTCCATGAAGAACTTTTAACATCCAAGTACTCTTAAAATTAAGTTTTTATTGGCATCTATGGTTCCATGAATAACCTTTAACATCCATGGAACCTCTGAAGGTTCCTTAAAGTGGAAAAGGTTCTTTAGATTGTTAAATGTTCTTGAATTTGAAAAAAAAATTACTGGAAAAATTGTTCTTTTAAGAACTGTTCTCTGAAAAGTTCTTTGGGGAACCAAAAAAGGTTCTGTGAAAACCCCTTTTGCATCCTTTATTTTTAAGTGTATAGAACCTTTCAATAGGATGAAATGTTTTTATGGTCAAAAAACATTCTTTAGTCGGTGCCAATAGCCTAGTGGGCAGTGCGCCGACATATAGGGCTGTTGTGCTCCGGGCGTCCCGAGTTTGAGTCCTGGCTCGTGGACCTTTCCCGATCCCGCCCCCCTCTCTCTCTCTCCTACTTTGCTTCCTGTCACTGCTATACTGTCCTATCAAAATAAAATAAAAATGCCAAAAATAAATCTTAAAAAAAAAAAAAAAGTTATTTAGAGTTTTTAAATCATTCCCATGGAATCAAATATGGAACCTTTATTTTTAAGAGTGTGGAAACAGGCTTCCACAGTATATAGTACTGTACAGTAAAAGCTAGTATTCCATTCTCTGTCCTTAATATATCACAGCCTCTCATATGTTTGTGGTTAGTCCAATTATGGTCTAAAATACCTAATTGTAAAAGATCATAATTAATGGTTAATTTGCATGTTCAAGTTAGTTGATCCAATTTGACCTCATCAGATATTTGAGAGTGAGTCCTTTAAAAACTGTGATGTTCCATGCTGCTGTAATATGCTGGA